GTAGGAGACCATTCATCGCGCTCTGGAACGTGGATGGCGCATTCGTGAGACCAAAGGTCATCATTAGAAACTCGTAATGGCCTGATGTGTGCGGAAAGTCGTCTTCTGTACATCCTCTTTCCCCATTCTAATCTGATGATAGCCCGCTTTTAAATCGATCTTCGAAAAATAGGTAGCTCCTCTCCACTCATCCAAGAGCTCTTCAATTACGGGTATAGGAAATTTATCCGGTATTGTGGCTCTATTTAGAGCTCTGTAATCCATGCAGAAACGCCAACTGTTGTCCATTTTCTTTACTAAGATAATCGGACTAGAGAAAGGGCTTGTGCTTGGTCTGATCATCCCGGCTTTCAGCATGTCCGCCACTTGTCTTTCAATTTCTCCTTTCAACAGGTGTGGGTACCTGTAGGGACGTACATTTACTGGATCCTCCCCTTCCTTCAGTGGAATTCGGAGCTCCATATCCCGAGATGGTGGTAATCCCTACACCTCCTAAAAAACTCGATAGTGCGCCTGCAACACTACTTCCAACTCTGCATTTTGCTCTCCCTCCAAATCAACTGGCCCCTCACTGTCCACCTCTTTCTCCACTCGGCCCAGATCCCAAGCTATCATCCATGACTCAGCATCTGTCAACTTTAATAAAGACTGAAGCTCCACCAGCTGTCGGGCCAAAGCTGGGTCTCCTTGTATCATCACCTTCTTACCATCCACGTTATACCCAATTGTCATTTCTTTCCAATTTATCATCACTTCACCAAGTTTAGCTAGCCATTCAACCCCCAAGATGACGTCTACTCCGCCCAGTTCGAATAAATGGAGCCTCTCCTCAACCACTACCTCTGTCAGAACGATTTCTACCTACTCACAACACCCTCTAGTCTTTTTCCTCTGTCCATCCTCCAAACTCACCTGTTAAGGAGGCGTATCGTTTATGGGTAGCTTCAGCTCTTTCGTCAGTCTCCGGCTAATAAAGTTGTGGCTGACCCCACTGTCGATGAGGTAGTACCTCCCTGTCGCCAATCTTTCCCCTCAATTTCATCGTTTTAGGTTGGGTTAACCCTCCTGCGGAACAAGCTGCTAACTCCATAGGCTTTGGATTTTCATCTACCCCTTCTTCTATGTCGTCCTCCTCATCCTCCGCCAACAACAATACTCGCAAACTCTTCTCCGAGCAGCGGCGGCCGGGTGCAAATGGGCCTCCACATCGGAAACATCGACCCTCTTCTCTCCTTTTAAGAAATTCAGGATATGGTAAGTTTCACACCGTCCTTCCCCGATTGTTGTCGCCTCCGGTCACACTCCCTCTCGCGCTGCTCGCAGGCATCGCTCCATCTCTCCTAGCTGGTCCATTACCCTCCGTTCCGCCTGTCCGGTTCGTGGATTGACGTTCGATTTCGCCACGTATTATTGCCCCTACCATGTGCGACCCCGATGGGTTAATCTTTATCCCGTTCCAGCTACCTCCTTTCGCCCTCATCATTGCATCTTTTACATCCCACGCGATCCTGATCGCAACCATGAATTCTTGAGGATCTTGAATGCGGACTTGCCCCTTTATGTCTTCTCGCAAACCGGCGAGAAAAAACCCCATCACCAGCTCCTCCGATAACCCCCAAGTCTGACCTATTAGTATTTCAAAGCTCCGGACGTACTCCTCCACTGATCCTTCTTATCGCATTGTCGTAAGTTGCTCAAACACAGTTCCTCTAGACCCCCCTCCAAATCGATTAACTAACGCCGTTTTTAGGGCCGTCCAAGAACGAATCTTGGCTTTTTCCTTCCAAACGTTAAACCAGTAACTCGCACTGCCCTCCATACTAATATATGCAAGCTCCACCTTGTCCTCCTCCGCCACCTTCTGAATGTCAAAGAAACGTTCTGCCCGATTAATCCAGCTGTGAGGTTCCCCCCTTCGAAGGATGGTAGATCCACCTGTTTTCGCCAATTGTGTTGTATCCCCACACGATCAGGTCTTCCCCCATTATCATTCACCGAACTGTCACTCCCTTCAGAGTTTCCGTCGTGATTGTTCGTTCTCGCCCCCATCATCCGCATCATTTGCTGTATATCCCGTCGCATGGCGGCAGCCTCCACCTTCATCCCCTCCATTGTGATTTCCAGCGGCTCCATTCTCCCCTTCCATTGCTGTCACCTCCAACACTCTGCACGTCCTCTTGATCCAGCAGGTCGGACCAAATTGATAGGTTTCTGATAAAGAAACCTATAGAAATGCACACTAACACACTCCAATAGACTTCACAGAGTGTTGTATAACCTCTCTTTATATTATCAATAATCAAGAATACAAAGTATACCAGTGATGAGAGCTTAACCTCCCCCTTACAGGACTAAAGAATTCTTATCAAACTATAATTCTCCCAAAAGCCCCTTCTAAACAAAATACAATGCTTATTTATACAACCCCTTTCCGCCTTTCCTAACTGCCAAGGCAGTTAGGCTAATTAATGTTTCTTTCTTCTTTCATACACTCTTAACCTCCTAACAAAGGAGGAGACAAATCTCATTACTGAGAAAGCTGATGAAAAAATTGGAATTCTCTGGATGCCAAGAAGCCCGGAGAGGTCGGCCAAGCAATTGGGGAACCTGAAAAATGAAGGAAGGAGCGTAACAGCTGAAGGCATTGGCTTGGCAAGTGAGAACAGGAGCTCGACAAATGTGATTAAGAGGTTGGCAAGAGAAAATAGGAGCTCAACAAGTGGAAACAGGAGTTCGATAATTGGTGATGGAAGCACGAAAGAGTGTCTACATAACTTGATGTTAGATGAGTTTAGCTCAATTGATCATAAGATAAGGGTCAAGGAGGAAGTGAAGAGCTTGGTGGATAAGCCTGCAGACACCACAGTGGAGAGCCTGAACAAGAAATTGAAGAAATTGGAAAGCCCGGATTGGCGTCTACACTACTCAGTAGAAAGCTTGGAGGAGTTAGTGAAGGCGATGGATTGGAGACCAAGTAGCTTGGTGGATGGTGAGGACAACAGGGTCAAGGAGATGAACCTCTACTTCGACATACTCCTTGGAGAGAAGGATTGTGAGGTTGAAGTTCCCCTAAACGTGAACTCAAATGCTTGTTGTGCGATTTCTGAATGAGACGAAGCTTCGAGAAGAAGTAGAGAAGCTTATGTTGGAAGGTGAAAAAATGTTGTTGCAAAAACAAAGAGACATCTCGGAGTTGAAGACGGAGCGAGAGTTGGCGCTAAAAAGCTCTCTCTTACGTAGGATGAAAATGGAATTGGTTTTTCCGTTGGTGATACTTGTGGTGATATTGGGCAAACTTGTAGTGATTTAGGGAAGTTGGAAAGTAAAGTGAAAACAACAGTTTTCATGTCCCCAAGTTTGGGCTTGGACCGGGATCGTTTACTAATAAATATGATCATGTTATTGATTTTCCCATAGGTTTTATAACACTAAAGATTTTCAACGTTGAAGTAGTTGATAAAATAGGTAGTCCAATGCCTCTCCATGGAACTTATCTACATCATTAGGTTGTTGGAAAATACTATTAAGCAAAACATGTGACAACACACATGGTACGATGGTCAGCGTTTTATTCATCCACTAGAGAAATTCTCTGTTTTGGATTTTGTTGATAAAGAAAATATTGAGCATTTTTTGCCAATAAAGCCTCTGTCAATAGAATGCACCCTTCTCATGCTTGTATAGGAAGTCAAAGGTTTGAGAGAGTTGACTGCTACGCTATATACAATTAATGAATTTGTGGTGGATTTGGAACATAATCATTATCGGTCTTTCTAAGGTTTGACTTGTTTAATGCAAATCTCAACTAGGATTGAAGATTTTGTTATAAACACTTTGAAGGTTCATAGTCATGTTAGGCCACACTTGAGGGAAGTCAAGGACCCTACCAAGAAGGTCATGCATGGAGCAAATCGAGATATTTTATGGCTGCAACGGGATTTTGGCATTTATGTCTGTGATATATTTGATATTGGCCAAACTTCTAGAAAGGAATAAACTCGGTGTGGATGGATATAATTGAAAAGTATGGATGAAAGACAAATAACGTTTAAGTTTAAGAAAGAATTTTGTTAAGTTAAACTTAAATGTAATAAGATTAAATGAGTTATTTATTTATTTAAAAATTTTGACAGATTTTAAAGAACAATGGTCGATAGATTAATGTAGTGGTTATTAGATAATAACAAAATAAAAAATGTCTTAACGGTAGAGTTTGACTTTATAAATGAGAAATCAATATTTGAATCTATAAATTATAGGTGTCTGATTGACATAGAGTGTAAAAAAACACCATAAACATATTCAGAATTATATATATATATATAAGTGAATAGTTTTCTAACAATAACATGAAAAAAAAATAAAAGAACTACCCATTTTTTACTAGTTAATTATTTTAAAAAAAAATATTTTCTAATAAAAAAGCCCTTGGAAATGTCAAGTAATTATTATTTTAAGTTTCCATACAGGTAATTTTTCAGGAGAACTTTATCCACGTGTCTCAATTCTTGCAGAGGTCCAAAACAGTTAGTCTGTTACAAAGTAATGTCGTCAGATGTACAAGGATATTCTGGCGTTCCTAACGAGGAAAATACATTTTCTATTTCCTTTTAAATGGATGAAATCTTCAGTGCGTTCTACGTTACAGCAATGAGTAATCTGACATTTTGAAGTTGCATAGATAAATATGAAGGACTATGCTGAACCCATAATCATCGTTTTGGCGCAAATTAACCTGTGATGAAATTTCAAACTTAAAGACCTAATAATTCATTCAAGTAATGTTAACCATTACTCGATCGATTTAATGACTCAATAGTGTTAAATAATGCTAATTGGACATTTTATTATCAAACAAATTTCACTATACTCTCGCTTAAAAAATTTGCCCATTCTCTTTTTTATGTAGAACTCATGTGAAATCACCTAATGATAGAGTTTCTCTTCAAACAAGTAATAGCTAAAGATAGTTCCAATGTCTTGAATCGTAAAGCGCAATATCACATCAAGAAATTAATAATTTATTAAAAAATTAAGAAATGATAAATAACATGTTCTCACAGCCTATAAACTCAGATACTAATACATTATCATTATATTTTGCTTTACAAAATTTTCTGTATATCTTACCTATCTTTTAGTCGTGGACTTCCCAGTGATTCACTAACATACAATAAAATTGTACAACTGCATGTACAAGACCCTGCCGATATTTTCTGGACTGTAATCTGAATGGAATCTCGAGACAAAATTGGTGGAAGTTGATGACAATCATAGTAATTCCAGGCATCGGATACATGCATGATTAAAAAGTCTAGACACAAGGCTATCTGGTTCAGGGACGAGAGAAAATGTCAGGCTGTTCCAGAAATGGAATGTCAATGAATTGTGCAGGATATTTTCAAGCAGCATATCTTGTTGAGCTTTATCAGTCTCTGTTGTCGGTGCAATGAAGTATCTGTTTACAGTTTAATTAGGGTAAGGTACTCAAGCACAAAAAGTAAACAAAAAATCAAGGCAGTATTACTCTCCAAATTAGACTCTAGCAAAAGAACTGGCTAGTGAAAAATGCAAACACGTGTATTTCTATTACTCGATACTAATCAATAGAGGCAAATGTCAATTTACCTTGATATGTTCTGAGAACCAACAGGGAAGAAAACATAAGAGGGTTCTACTTTCAACTTCAAGTCCTTGACAGATTTATTCTCCTCTATCAAATATTTCTGTGCAACCCTTGTTAACAGATCAGCACCATTCCCTCTCAGACTGGTATCATCGTACGTCATATAGAACTCTTCTAAGCACTCCTTTATGAACAAACTGCGTATCGAACGGTCAACCTTAAAGTTCAATATGATTACAAAAGGAAAGAGAAATACATTTAACTCAGAATGTCTATAGATTAATCAAAAATTTAGTCATGACATTTGAAATGTATGCATATTTGTAATGAAATTTGTGGTAGTACCTAAAAGTTCAAGATATCCCGAATAAGGATTCGGAACACAAGACTTACACCTTCCATTCATCCCCGTATTTATGATAATAAACAGAATTCTACTTTAGGGAGCTAGTTAAAGGAGGCTAAATAGAAGTGGACTACCAACTGCACGCACTTGCAGCATTGGTTGATTGGAATCAGTGAGCCCAAGTGAGCTTTCCAAAGCCAGGAGCGAAGTTAAGACTTCAGCAACAAGATAACCTAATTCAATTAAATAAGGGGAAAAAGGGTATAGAGGACATTAAGGGCATTGTATTTCATGTGAAGGGGAAACACTTCTGTTTCATTCTTCGGCTCATTTTCAGTAAAATAATCCTTGTTTTCTCTATTTCGATAGGGAATTCCTACCCATGCTTATGTACTGAAGGAAACAGAAGTGTTCCAATCACAAAGAAAGGGCACTCAAAAATAAAAGAGGCAGCGAACAAAAGACAAGTTGTGCTTCTCCAAATGACAGTTATGGTGGCATCAACAAAATTGAACAAGGATAGAAACGTTCCACATGTCATGATTTCTCATACTCAACCATAATTGTCACATTCTCAAGAAATTCTCATTCGGAATAACCAACTAAACATATAAAAATATTACGGAAAGAGTATCCAACTACAACCAACTCTTATCCCGTTGAGACGCGAGAGAACATACAACACCACAACTCTTGAATTAACGTAGGCAGTCCATGACAGAATAAGGACACTTATGAGATTACCCTCACTTCAGTAGCATCCTTGAAAATCATTTATTTAGAAAATGAAAATATTCTGCAAATATAGAGAGCATGGAAACAATACCTGTGCCTTTGAAAAGCCATCACAGCACCATTCAAAGCACTTCCAGCACCACGATCCTCCATACCAACACAATTATTAAGAAGAGAAATTGGCTTCAAAACAATGATATCTGAGTCCAGATAGATCCCACCATACATGATAAAACAATAAAAAAAAAAACAAAAAAGCATTGCCATCATTGATCCTTACTCTTATTTCCCACAAAAAAAAAACATCCGAAACAGTCAGCTCACAGCCATAGTCCAAATATATATTATTATATATATATATATTATATATATATTATTAATATATTATATACACATAGCAAAACTTGAACTGAACTGAACACTCTCAAGCAAGTCGAATTTACCTCACCAAATTATTATACAAATATAAGCATATAGCAACCACCTAATAGCCAAGACAACCATGAAAACCCTACTGTACAGAGCAGCTAGGCGGATAAGCTCACTGTAATGAGTGGAATAGAACTCTGTCTTCTTCCATTCAAACCACACAGAAGCAAAAATGTGAGCAGGCGTATCCTTCAGCAACTCGTCGAGATTTGGCATAGCAACAGCAACTTTGTAACTGGTAAAAGTAAGTCCTTAAAATTAAAAAACACGGTAACTTGCACGGCAAGGAAGCAAAAGCTAGACCAAGAGAGGCAACAATTACCCATCCTTAACAAAGCTCTCTTTGAAGAAATCAAGCTCAACCGTCTCAGAGAACACAACAACACAAGCAGCAGGGTGATGAAAGAGCAAACTCTCGAGGCCACGCTGGTGCCGGACAGTGTACGTCCAAGGAGGCGAATTCCACACCATAAACACCCTGGTAACACATTTCCCCACCCTGAAAAACGCATCCATGAAGTCGTTGAATGGAACAATCGTAACCGCAACCCAGGATAGTACCCCAAGTATCCCCATTCCGCATATATATGATCCTTCCTAGCGTGGAACCCCAGCACAATGACATTTGCATTCCTTTGAAGCTTGATTCACCACCATTGGCACCTGAAATTCATAACGTCCTGAATAATCCACATGTTCATTATTATTGTTGTTAGTGATGGTTTATGGTTCAAAGTTTGCGTTCGCGCCAACTTGGGACTGGAGTGGGTAGCACATTGATGTTAAGTGGAACCTTCTTGTTACTAGGGAAGGGGACTTTCTTGAACTCGTGGATCCACCACTTTTGGACAGTGCGGTCGCCCCTGGTGAGCCCGGTGGTGCCGACAGCGTCGGGATCCTGAAGCAAGGGGTTGTTCAGGGGGTTCAACAAATCGAAGTTGGATCTGAACATTCTATCTTTCCTGAGAAACACGCTTTTCTTGTCGAACCAGTCGCCCCAGCCGTCCCTGAGGGGAGAGTTTTTGAGTAGCAGCGCGTCCTCGATTGTGGTGACGCGGGTGGCCATGTTCCTGACAGCGTCATCGACGGGGACGTCATCCGGAGGGAAGGCGGTCTTGGAGGGGTCGTGGTCAGAGAAGGATCGGAGGGGTAAGTCGTCGTCGGTGCGCGATTGGCGGAGGGAGGGAGGGGAGAGGAAGGACCGGCGAATGGAGGCAGTAAGGGGGTCGAAGTAGTAACGGGGAGAAGGGTTGAGGCGGAGAGAAGGAGGGTCTAGGGTTTCGTCCACGAAGTCGACCTCGTCGATGGGGTCATCGGCGGCGGAGAGGTCGGCGGAGTGGGAGAAGGAGGGGCGGGGGAGATGGTCGGAGTGAGGGTGGGAGCGGGATAGGCGGGAGTAGAGGAGGGAGACGGAGAGGAGGAGGAGCAGGGCGGAGATGACGGCGCAGAGGTAGGCGCCGTAAGGGGAGCGCCGCCGAGATCGTAGCATTTGACTCAATTCCACGATCTATGTGAAATGCGAAGGATAAAGCACATTGTTGTTTGAGTCTATTGCAGTCTAAATATCTTCACTCTCGTCTTTGAAAACGAGAAATCACGTTTAATTATTTGGACAGTCTTATACAGATTGACGATACCAATCTGGGTTTTTCAACATACAGGGTAATCACTTCATATGGTATTAGTTCAAACGGCGTTTTTGTTTTTTCTAACTCATACTATGAACTTTTAAATTTTGTCTCAGGATTTTCATTTTTTTAATTTTATCTTACATTTTTATTATAAATTGGTTATAGTGTGACGCTATTTGATGTTAATGTTTCAATGTCTATCTTTTTTTTTCTGTCAACAAGTTTAGTTGAAATGATAGAATGTCATTTATTATTTGCACCACATATTATTATAATAACAATTTTATCATTCGAAATAGTAATGATATTGACTGTTTTTTATGAAAATAAATTATTAATAAAAATTCAAAAGTAGAATTGAAAAAAAAAAAGTATTATTTTGTTGTTTGACTTATAATATAGGGTTTTTTAAATATGTTTTAGGATCCCTTAAGGCATCAGGAGATTTTTGTTTTAGTCCCTAGTCAGAATTTGATGGTTTTTAGTCCTTGTTGTTTTGAAACTCTGACTATGTAGTCCTAAAATGGACAGTGTTGATAGGGATGTGGCAAACGGCGAGCCACGTGATCACGTGATGGCTCTCTTCTCTCTCTGCACGTGGGATGTTTAAGTGTTGAACTGAGATTAAGGAAGAGCACTTCGTCATATTTTATAAATGAGATTTGAAGAAGTTGGGTTCTTCTTCGTGGCTGCAGCTGGGGGCAAAGAACTTGGGTTAATCTGAAGGTTGGAGTTGGTGTTCTTGAGGAGGTAAGTTCATATGTTTTGGTTTTGGTTTCTTCTGTTCTTCGTGGAAATGAGGATGGATATAGGGGTTGTGGGCAGGGTGAAAGCCTGATGGAAGGGATTGGTTTCTTGTAGTGAAATGAAAGGGAGAGTGGAGAAATGGTTGGACGCGAAGGTCAATTGGTTCGTCAAGTCGCAAAAGTTGTGGTCATCTCACGGTTACCTTCTAAATTGGGGTTTGGTGAAAACAATGTGGTTTTGAGGCAACTACGTGAAGAACAAAGGACGATGTTTATAGATGTGAAATTGGGCAGTAATGATTAAATCTTCATTCAATTTTGCTGGATTTTGAATTAATCTTGTGTTGTTTTGAGTGCCAGAGTAATTCAAGTTGTAATTACTTTGATCGCGCCATGAGAGAGGAGTTTCTTGAAATTGAAGGAAGCTTTGAAAGAAACACGTGCCGCCCCTTGCCCGTGTTTGCCCCTGACACCCTTGCTTGGCTCTCCGGCGGCAGCGCATGATCACCCCTGTGTGCCGGGGTCGCCCCC